GGCTTAAATGAGTTTAGTTTAAACACAGATAGCAACGTGTGCTGTTCAGGTCTCACCTGCGCTATCAACACGTAATGGCAGCATAAATGACAGTTATTCCAGCATAAAGCACTCGCATTGATTAAAGAGTGACTGGTTTGTCCACGTATTGTTTTTTTCTCTCTCTCTCATCGCTCTTGTTGTAATGTATTGGGAAGCCAGAATTTGTATCCATCAACAGAAACATGCATTAGCCGAACTCTAACAAACCATATTACAGATGCATTGTCAGATTTAAGTTGAACTGTGGTCCTAGTATATGCCGAACCGTGTGTGGAGAACGGTACGGTTCGATTTTTTACCGAGAACCGTTGCACCCCTACAAACCACTTTTATTTTTAACAGAAAAGTAAGCATGGGCTGCTGCGTGCATGGTTTGGCATGGCAGAATGCGAGCAGCGCTTCCTTTATTATCACTAAAAGCTGACATCTCAGTTCATCGCAATCTCATAAAGCTCTATTATAACACAATGAACATATGCACAATTAATCTTTCACAGTGTCTACACTTCGTGTGTTAAAATGAGAGGATTCTTGAGCATGCAATTTCAGCACTGCGGTGAGTAGATTCTAACTTAATCACCGTCCCGCGCCGCACCCTGTTGCGTTGGGTCCCACGGTACTCCCACGGGAGTGCAGGTCTCTACTTGACATCAATAGCTATGAAAGGCTGTTTATGCATGAACATCACTGTACCTGAGTCTAAGATAGGGCTGGGCGATATAGCTAAAAATGTATCAACGATATAATGTTTCATATCATTCGGTATCGATAATTATTGACATTTTTTATAACGTTTTTTAAAACAGAGCAATAGAAAAAAATTTTTACATTTAACCACTGTATTTTTAAATTAACTCAATTTATTGAGACAAACAACAATTTTTTTTGTTTTAACAGTCACACAAAATAAAAATTAAACAAATATCCAATTTCTAATGTTTTATATGCAGATTAAAAAAGTTAAACTTTTGGCTTGTTTCCCGAGGCCACAGGAGAGCACAATGAGCAAAATAATGCAGCACATTAAATTGTCATCGCAAGGAAATAACTGTCTATAAAAAAGTGCATTACGTCTAAATGAACTCATAAAAAACGAATAATTTCTTAAATTGCATAAACAATTATGAACAAAACAGCATCATGTATTTATGCAAATCGCCCATCACACAGATTGCCTTTAAAAACAAAAGAGATGCAGTGAAAAGGAATAAGCCTTCACAAATTTGTGACGTGTTTTCTAAAAGTTTAAACTGTTTTAACTTTGCATGGCTTTCTATACATCTCTTGTGTGACGCGAGTGCAGCAGTTATATTTGTCTGTCTAGAAAATGCGCTGAATATGCGTTCTGTGTGAATGGCTTTGTTTCGGTTTTAACCTAATCAAGATCTTCTACGCATTGAGCTAATACGTTTCTCTAATATTTTGAATGAATAACGCAGTAGCGGCGCGCAAAAACATCACTTACATCATCATCACCGCATCTCGTGCTCCAATGATGACGCTCCCTGATGCACACCTGACATTTGATTGTACTATTTTTGTATTCAAATGCAAATGTTTATTTTAAATTCGACTAAAACTCTTTTTTTTTATTCACAATCTCCTCATCACAGGCAGGCACAGCACTCATGTTCATGTTTGTGAGTGCTGTCTGCATCACTCATAGCATGTGCCTATATCGTGCACTATATAGAACATTTTTTATATCATTATCGAAGAAGGTGTACCGTAAATAAATATCAATACCGTTTTATCGCCCAGGCCTAGTCTAAGGTGAGCATTATGACTCAGTAAGGCTTGGTTGGCGTCTTCAATAATTGCAATGAAGTTACAAGGTTCATCTAGATTCCTTCCTCATGTCGTAAGAAACATTCTTGGCATATTGTTTGGCTGAGATAGACCTGTACATATTGCAAAAACACTAACCTATATTCAATGACTCATTAAGCAGAGGGATCTTCAGGAAACAAACATAAACTCAAGATATTTCAAGGGGACAATGAGTGACTGAAGGACAAGTGCAAGAAAAAGCAGGACATTCCAGCACATCCCATCAAGTTCCTTTTTCATTGTAGTGGCTATATGTCTATATTAGTATCCTTATTAAAATCAGTATCATGTAGGCTCTGGATTTATATATTCCTAACTGTAGTTTATAGTATAGCTTTATATAGCCTAGATCATTCCATGAAAAGGCTGCCATTTGTGTCCCTAATTAATATTTAAACGGCACTATTGTGATGCAATTAACTTTTACTATTAGACATTATTTAAACACACATCCATATAGTAACTTTATTTTTAAATATATTTCAATAAAGAAGATAAAAGCTTTATATGTATTCACCCTATAAATAATTATAGGCTTTACTGGACATAATAGTTTATTGTAAAAAATAAAATAAAATAAATCATTATATTGTGTACTACTCAACCCTGTTAATGCACAAAATTGATGGTAACAGGGTCGACTGCTTATTATCGCTTCTTATTGAAAAACTTAAAATTAAATACTTTTTTTTTTTTTTTAAACCATCTTAATAAACAGGACAAAATTGATGATGGTTTGGTAAATCAACTACTTTTACAAATTTGGTACCTACTGTGCTGTGTCCTGTACACTGTAAAAAGAAATCCCGTAAAAAAACGGTAAAATTCCGGCAGCTGGGGTGTCGGAAAATTACCGTTAAATAACGGGCACATTAAATAACAGTAATTTTCTGTAATTCAAAAATACAGTGTTTTGCTGTCATTTTACATGAGATTTTCTGTATTTTCTTCAGCTTTTAATGTTCAATAAGGAGCTTTACTTAAATACTGTGGAAAGTTAAGTAAAAACCATGGAATTATCATTAAGTCTGAACACTGCTTTAATTCAAATAATCAGCCGTAAGTGCAAAACAGCGTTTTAATCAATTATTCACCTATCTGCAAGAATATACCATCTTAACTGCAAGAATATACCAATAGTTTGTTCAGAACTGCAATTTACTAATATTCTTTGTTCAAAACTGCAACAATATACCAGTATAAAGATTATCGCACAACTACAACAGTATAGCAACAGTTTGTTCATAACTGAAGTATAACAATAAAACTTTGATCACAACTGCAACAATATTCCAATAATTTGTTCATAACTGCAATTAATGTCCTAATTCCCCCTTGATAATACAATAAATTATCTCTTTGTATGCTCTTCAAGGACATGTGTTTAAAAAAAAAAAAAAAGTATTTAATTTTAAGTTTGTCAGTAAGAAGCGATAATAAGCAGTCGACCCTGTTACCATCAATTTTGTGCATTCACGTCAACCCTGTTAACATCATAATTTGTACGACGTACAATATAACCAATGTACAAATCCATAAATTAGAAAAATCTTTATGCATGCTCTTCAAAGACGATTTATCTTTTTTTATCTGTAACTATAGAGCGATATTAATCACGCAACCCTGTTACCATAATTTGGTACATTACACAAATGATTATTTGAGAACTGGATTTTTGCAGTAATATCAGCGTTAAATTCTCTTTCTAATAAATATATTGTATGTAAATGCACTGTAAAATGTCAACCCCGTTACTTTTCATTTAGCTTGAGATAGCACAATAGAACTTAACACTTAAAAACAACATTTATCTGATTGAATGTTTAAAATCTTACAGGTATTTCATGGACGAGACGCCCATTTCATGACCTAGGCTATATGATGATGATGATATATGCTATACTAAAGACATCATAACTATACAATTTTTTTATATTTAAGAGTTTGATACATATTTATACACATTAAAATGAGATATAGTGTTTACATATCCAAGTGTATGTTCAGGCAATGTCACAATTTGCAAATGTCACGTATAATTTCAGCTGCTATGTACAGTATAAGCATTTTTACTCGCATATGTTTTACTGCACATGCAGCCTATATCTAGATGTTCAAGTGTCAAGTTCAGCCAAGACAAAACACAACATTAAGTCAGAATATGCTTGTCTTTAATAGCAGTGACCTGACACTCTTTGGACTGGAGTCTAATGCATTATGTGTAACAAAAAAACAAAAACAATTACAATTTGTATTTTACCCTCTATAGCAAATCTTTGTTCAATACCGATAATACAAGTGCAGTCATTATCATTCTAGATAGAACTCACCTTACGTACGGATCTTCATGCTGGTGCTGATATTTAAGATGACCAACTTGCGATTTAAAGCGAGTTCACGAGGTTAAACGCCGTAAAGAAGAAAAATCCGCAAACTGTGCTCTTGTGCGAGAGATACAGCAAAAACAGTGATAGATCCGGAAGCCGCGCGCACTTCAATACAGTTGTCACGCACAAATCCACCTTCCGAAAAGCTTGGCGGATTATGTTTTTGGAGTCGCGGATGCCAGTAATCCAAACAGATGGAGCGGTACGCGCTTGGGAAAGGTGCAGATCTTGTCGACTGCGCGCCGTCAAATGAAGAAAGTTTCCTCTCCGCAAACACAGACTGACGCCGAGTTTTTCCACAGAGGAGCGACTGAGAGTAATGTCAGCCTCAGGAAGAGATGACGCGCACACTGCGCTCGCGCCGCGCCGCGCGAGATTCTGGCGCCCTCGGCCGACTGCGATCAACAGCGAGCGACATTTCAAGGTCTGAACATTTAATTTGTTTTAAACTTTCTTTTAATTATTTTACTTTAAGTGATTATTTATATAATTACTTACAATATTTTAAGCAATTTTATTTAGACATGTCAAAATAGGCCTAACAGTCTAAAACCCTGGTCTGTGTAATTTTGAAGTTTTTAGCGGTACAATAGCCTACATATATCAAAATTAAATAGACGAAAAATAAATAAAAACACGCTACAGTGGGTAACAAACAAATAAATATAGGCTAGATAGATAGATAGATAGATAGATAGATAGATAGTTTAAAAATATTATTATCCTAACATTTACTGTAAAAAGTACAAATCTTCTTATTTATTTATTTATTTTATTGCATAAACACATGCACCAAAGTCAGTAACTATAGTAAGATATTAATACAAAATAATTTTTAAAAATCACAAAATGCTAAATTCCTAATATTTTACGATGGATGAACGAAACATTTTTTACAACCTTAAGTGACTTCATTAACAGAGCAAGTTCGTTACAGAAAGCATTATACAAAGGAGTTTTGGACATTCAGCATTTATGAATAAAGAATTTGCAAGAATTATAAAGAATTCAGAATTATAAAGTTTACACAGCTGTCAGTACGTTTATCTTAATGCTCGTAATAAAGGATCATTTCTTTCGCATGTAATGTTATTTTAAAATTTTGTATTTGCAGAAAAAAACTCCACAAATTACTCCAGATTTGTACTTCATTGCCCATAATTCCATGCGAAAACGTCATAACGCTCTAGCCAATGATATCCAATCTGACCAGAGAAGCAAGGTTCACCAGGAAACATCATCAGAAATGTAGAACATAGTTCACGCACCAGACCCTGTTAACCATCTGTGTATATCTCAAACGGTTATCATTTTATTTTTTTCGAAAATGCACAGAGTGCAGGTTTTGTCGGGACATCTGTCTTCAAATAGTCGTGTGGGAATGAGGCAGTGCAGCGCTTTAGCTGCTGATCCAAATGATATCGTTGTGGTTCATGGACTACGAACAGCCATCGGCCGAGCGAAGAGAGGATCTTTTAAGGTGGGATATCGGTCAATATGACAATTGACAGTGACATTCACAGTATTCTCTATTAAAGTCTGTCTTTTTGATTTTAGGACACTACCCCAGATGAGCTTCTCAGTGCTGTGATGAGTGCAGTGCTGAAGGATGTGGGACTGAGACCCTCTTTACTAGGGGATGTGTGTGTTGGTAAGTCCAGATGACAGCTAGCCTGATCAAATCAAGATATACTAAAACACAATAATGACAGTCATATATGAAGACTGATTAAATGCATAGTCCACCCCAAAAAAAATTTTTTCTGAAAATGTACTCACCCTCAGGTCATCCGAGATGTAGATGAGTTTGTTTCTTCAACAGAACGGATTTTGAAGAAATTTAGCATGACATCACTTGCTCACCAATGGACCTTCTGCATTGAATGTATGCCATCAGAATGAGAGTCCAAACAGCTGATAAAAACATCACAATCCACAAGTAATCAACAAGACTTTTGTCCCTCAATTAATGCATTGTGAAGTGAAAAGATACAAGTCCTCTATCCATAATATTGCTTTCTCCAGTGAGAAAGAACTCTCGTCTGAATCAGGAGAGAAATATGCACAGATCAAGCACAATTTACACCATTTCCAAAACAGATCTAAACAAATATGTTGGTGGCTTTTGATGTGAGAGGACAACAGGGGATGAACTTTTCACTGGAAGAAGCATTATTAAGGATTATGGACTTATGGATTTTGGCCAGAAGCAGTGGTTTAAAGTTAAAACGCCTTCATGATGAAATTGTTTATTATAAACACATAGCTTTTCGCTTCGCAAGACATTAATTGATGGATTGATGTTTTTATCAGCTGATTCTTTCATTCTGACGGCACCCATTCACTGCAGAGGATCCACATGTGAGCAAGTGACGTAATGCTACATTTCAGATTTTTTCGATGAAGAAACAAACTCATTAACATCTTGGATAGCCTGAGAGTGATTTTTGGCTGAACTGTTCCTTTAACATTAATATACACTTACTGCTATTTTTCAGGCAATGTACTACAACCTGGTGCAGGTGCACTGATGGCTCGAGTCGCACAATTTTTTAGGTAAAATGAGTAATTGAATAATAAATCAAGATATTGCTAAACATTTGAATTAGCTGTAAAATACAAGACGTTCTTTATCTTTCAGTGGCTTTCCTGAGTCTGTACCAGTCTATACTGTAAACAGGCAGTGCTCTTCTGGACTACAAGCACTTTTTAATATTGCAGGTAAGAATTACAATTTAATCTGTAAAATGGCCCATTTGGGCTGAACCATAAGAAAATACAAGATTATAGTTTAAACAGGCATTTTCCTGTGTTTTAAGGTGGAATCAGAGGAGGTTCATATGACCTGGGACTTGCCTGTGGGTTAGTATGCTACATTTGTAATTGTTGATTTCAGCAATTGAAGTGAACGATGAAGTGTAGCATTAATCATTGCATAGAGCAGGGGTTTCCAAGCTTTTTTTTTCCCAGTCAAACCACTTAGATGTGAAGTATTTACTTGAAGATTTTAAGTTAATACTTGACTAATTTTCAATTTGAAGTCTCATATTGCTGCTGTTAAATCCAACTAAGACCTCTTTCAGGGTCTTAATTATTTATTTATTTATTTTTATTCGAATTATAAAATGAAGACAGAATATGTTGTAAATTAGAGTTGTACTGTCAAATAAAAAAATATATTTTTTATTAATGTTATTTTTAATTGTGTGTAAATGTGCATGTCTATATTTTATTGCTATCAATTGCTTTATCAATGTAAAGCCTGTAAAGCTACTTGAATCTGAATCTTATAGCTCATCTCCTTTTCCTTTTTTTTATGCTAGTGTGGAGAGCATGTCCCTTCGTTCACCGAATAACCCTGGAGACATCAGCCCCCGACTGATGGACAGTGAGAAAGCCAGAGACTGCATCATTCCCATGGGGTATGCATGTTATTCTTTTATACTGTTTTTATATTTACATTCAAATATACTTTTTTTTCTTAGTTTTCTGTGTGTTTTCTTTCAGAATAACCTCAGAGAACGTTGCTGAGAGATTTGGCATCACTAGGGAAAAACAGGACCGCTTTGCTCTCAGTTCCCAACAAAAGTAGTTGCCGCCATGACATTTATGGATAGTTTATACATTCTAGTTGTTGGTATTTAGCAAAAATGCATTCAAAACAGCTCAAAGTACTAATTATTTGTGGACTTTTATAACACTAGGGCAGCCATGGCACAGAAAAAGGGCTTGTTTGAGCAAGAGATCACACCAGTCACTACTAAATTTGTAGACGAAAATGGTACCGAGCGCACGATTACTGTCACAAAGGATGATGGGATCCGGCCTGGGACTACCTTAGAAGGCCTTGCCAAACTGCGACCAGCATTTAAAGAAACCGGCAGCACCACAGCGGGTGTGCATATGCAGAATTTTTGAAAAAAGAAATAGGACGTTAAATTTCATAACTCAGTTCTTCCGCTCCCATTGCAGGTAATGCCAGTCAGGTGAGTGATGGCGCAGCAGCGGTGCTAATTGGGCGGAGATCTACAGTGGACAAACTGGGACTTCCTGTTTTTGGGGTGCTGAGGGCGTGCGCTGTGGTGGGTGTTCCACCGGACGTTATGGGCATTGGCCCAGCCTATGCCATCCCAGAAGCCCTCAACCAGGCTGGTGAGAGTACAGTTGCTCTCACTGTACCTCTAGGCTCAAATGAGCCATTTATATTCTAATAGTAATCTTGCTTAAATGTATTGAAAGAGATTTCTCATTTTCATTATTCCAAAATAATGGCTGTAAATGAGGCGTTTTTGCATTTGCTTGTGCAGGGCTGACTGTGGATGATATTGATGTGTTTGAGATCAACGAAGCATTCGCCAGTCAGGTGACTTATAGATTTTCTTGGATTTCCCTAAATTATTCCACTACTTTCCTGTTATTAAGAACAGCAGCTTTCCCAATTTTCCTAGGCTGTGTATTGTGTGGAAAAACTGGGCATTCCTATGGAGAAAGTGAATCCTAATGGAGGAGCCATTGCTCTTGGTCATCCACTGGGCTGCACTGGTGCTCGACAGGTCGTGACTGTGCTCAATGAGCTCAAACGCAGACGCAAGAGGTGAATGCACATAAAAAATCATACAGAAGGGTCCTATGAAATTTTCCCCCAACAACCTTAAATTCCCTTTATTTTTTCCCAAATTCTGACTTTTCCATTTGAATTTTTCTGGATTCCATTCTACAATAAATTTAGTTTTCATGTCTGAATTCCACAATTCCATCCCTTGTTTCCCACTGCTGAAATAATATGGCCCTAATACATTACTTTAAGCCTAACTATACAGGCTTTAATCTTGGAAATAAAAAAGATTATTCCTTTTACCACTTACAGTGTTGTGTTTTTTGTTGCAGAGGGTATGGCGTGGTGTCCATGTGCATTGGGACTGGAATGGGAGCGGCTGCAGTTTTCGAGTATCCTGGCCAGTGATAAAAGCCCTAGCGTAAAATCTCCAGATGACACACAGAGAAACTAACAAGTCAAATTCTTTTTAATCAAGCTGCTAGAAGTCTAACTGTAAACACAAGCAGAAAGAGTACACGTCTTACTTAGTGTGTATCAGTGGGTGTTTGCCTTACTTTTGAGGATGTTCAACATTCAGAACATTCAGATCTCTCTTTAAAGTGCCTTGCATTTCAACTGTGATAACAGATCAAGGAAACAGACATGCTTGTATCTGTAAGAGCATTTTTAGTAACCAGTGTAATTTGTAAAGGTTTGTAATTCATCTCATTTGTTAGAATAAAAATGATTTATTATGCATGAAACTTGTGTTTTAAAATGCTAGGTATACTACCTTTCAAAAGTTTGGGGTCGGTAAGTTTTTTTTTTTTTAAGAAATTAATATATTTA